GCCAATCTCAAACCTCCCATTCATCAGCAAAGTTATTGAAAAAACTGTGTAAACAATTAAATAGTTTCCTCATGATGACCCAACTGCTTTGACACTTTCCAGTCTGGTTTTCGTGCTCACCACAGCACGGAGACTGCCCTCGTAAAAGTATTCAATGATATCCATATAAATACGGACTGTGGGAGAACCACGGTGCTGGTTCTGTTGGATCTCAGTGCAGCTTTTGACACTGTCGACCATGACATATTACTGAATCGACTTGAAAGTTGGGTTGGACTCTCTGGTTCGGTGCTCGACTGGTTTGAATCCTACATAAAGAACAGGGATTTCTTTGTTTCAATTGGAAACTTCTCATCAAAGAGGTCAAAGGTCACATGTGGGGTACCCCAAGGTTCAATCCTAGGACCCCTCTTATTTAATATTTATATTCTCCCACTAGCTCAGGTCATAACAGGAAATAATATTAGCTACCACAACTATGCGGATGACACACAGCTCTACATTACGATGTCACCAAGTGACTCTGAACCCATTCAATCACTGAATAAATGTTTAGAACAGATAAATGTGTGGATGTGCCAAAACTTTCTCCAGCTGAACAAAAACAAAACTGAAGTCATTATTTTTGGACCTAAAGAGGAACGATCTAGAGTCAATGCACAGCTTCAGTTATCACAACTAAAAACTAGCGATCAGGCCCGAAACCTGGGAGTAGTGATGGACTCGGACTTGAACCTCCAGAGCCACATAAAGACAGTAACAAAATCGGCCTTCTATCACCTGAAGAACATCTCCAGGATTAGAGGACTAATGTCTCAGCCAGATCTAGAGAAACTCATTCATGCGTTTGTCTTTAGTCGCATTGATTATTGCAACAGCGTCTTCACAGGCCTGTCCAACAAATCAATCAAACAGCTGCAACTGATCCAGAACGCTGCTGCTCGCGTTCTCACTAGAACCAGGAAGATAGATCACATAACACCAGTTTTAAAGTCCCTCCACTGGCTCCCTGTAGCTCAAAGAATAGATTTTAAAATACTCTTGTTGGTTTACAAATCACTGAACGGCTTAGCACCACAATACATCAAAGATCTGCTGTTGTTGTATCAACCTTCCAGACCTCTCAGGTTCTGGTTCTGGTCTGCTCTGCATCCCCAGAACCAGAACCAAGAGAGGAGAAGCAGCTTTCAGCATCTATGCACCAAAACTTTGGAACAAACTTCCAGAAAACTGTAAAACAGCGGAAACCCTGACTTCCTTCAAATCTCAAGTAAAAACGCACCTGTTTAGAGTTGCATTTGAAATGTAATATGTATGGATTTGATTTTGTGGATATGTATGTAATTTTTTTTTTTTTTTTTTTTTTTTTTTTCCTGTTGTGGGCAACGGGGCCCGGCGAATACCCGTGGTTAAACGGACGGCGGAGTCCGGCGGTAACAGGCGCTTAAATTCCGTGTCAAAGGGAAGGGGGAAGAAAGGGAAAGAAGAGGGAAAGTGGAAAAAGGGAAAAAAAAGGGAGGAAAAAAAGAAAAAAAAAAAAAAAAAAAAAACCTTGGTATTTTATTCTATGTTGCATGCCTTCGTGTTTTGTGTTTATGATGTAAAGCACTTTGAAATGCCTTGTAGCTGAAATGTGCTATACAAATAAAATTTGATTGATTTTGATTGATTAAGTTTTAGCTTTCCCCAGAGTTGAAAGTTTTTTTTTCTCTCTTTCTTTCTTTATTTTTTTTAACACTGCACAACTACGCTCCGACATGGTAATTATTTTGTTACCTTTATCATTATCCACTACTTTTGTCTCTAACTTATATGCTGTATGTTTCTCGGCCCAAATGATGCTTTTTTTTTCCTCCATCCATCATTTTACACACTTGAGTGTGTTCAATAACGAAATATAGTTGTTGAATTTTCCATTACTGAAGCTTATAAATGATCAATGTAAACTTTCAGTCTGTATTCAGATAGTGAATACAATTCCTATTATCTAGATTGGATGTTTTAATGCGTGCACTTGGATTTCTATCGATTTATTGAATAATAGTCTGTGTAAATATTTATCAAACTGAATGGCCATTCAGGTTTCGTATAATTTTTTTATTTTGGTTTCTGTTGCACAACTTCAAATATATGCTGGCTATCAACCAACAATTCAATCAGTGATTTTTTTCTTTTTTTTTTAAATAACCCGTCTCACATCTTCTGACAACTAGCCCCAAGTTATAATAACATTAACTAAGTTTGCTAATGGTGCACTTTACCTAAAAACAAATATTAAAAAAATAAACATACTCACTACACAGCCCTTCTCCCAGAGTTGGTCACAACATGGGTGATTGTTTTTTTTTTACCGTTAAAATTATCTACAGCTTTTTCCTTGCTTCTCATGATGCTATCTGTTCACTAATGTTCACTAATGTTCACTAATGTTCACCTCTTGTAAATGATAAGCTTATTAACGAACAATATGAACCATTAGCATGCGTTAAAGAAGATCATATCAGTCAGATGAAGTAAAAATATCATACAGTGTAACTACACTTGTATTTTATATGTTGCAGTAATTGAATCTTTTGAGAAAATTGGTTTGCATAAATTTAAGTAAATCCAACCTATTTTCCTGCTCTACATACTTAGCTAGCAATTTGCCAGTTAGCTTCCCAGTCTGAATTTCTGTGCAACGTCTTTATTCAGTCAACTCTTCTATCCTGTACTCCAATTCTATTCCAGAACTCTGATATTCTACATCCACTCTGTGAATGTTTTGCTTGCTTGCCTGTTGGTCTTCAGCATGCTCTGAAGGCAGTATCGGGTTTCTCTTACTTTAAACCGCCCAACTTGCATCTGATTGGCACTTTAGCCTTTTGATTCCCTCCAGTGAGGCGGTGCTTCACAAAGCAAATTGATTGTCAATCTGTTGCTCTCTGCCTGGTGGTTGTTTCAGAAGATGAGGAAACATGGTGACTGAGGTTTACACCCAACTAGCCAGATTATGCAGCTTGTAATTTTGGCAAAGAATATTCTTAAACTCATCCAGAATATTATTCTCTGCAAAAAACTTCTTTTATTTTACTTCTATTGCAGCAGCAGCACCAGCAGCAATATATTTGCTACATACAATAAAGATACACGGTCTCTCTTTTTTTTTTTTGGACATAGTTGTCCTGTTCAAAACCTTGTGGTTTGCTTGAGCAGAAATGGTGTGGTGTCTGCTGGGCATGTTAAAATGTGAAACATTTAGCACACAACATCCTCACTACTTTCAGATAGTTCACTTTTTATTTTATTTTTGTTGTTGCGTGGACTCAATTTAAATAGATTAACTTTTACTGACATGTTTCACACTAGCGAGTGTTACAGAGAAAAATGTATGAGTTTCAAATGTGTTTATACCGGCGTTTACTATTTTGGAGAAAGCATGAAGCTCTGGGAAGATCAGTGTTGATTCAGCAGCAGGAAAAAAAATTGAACGAAAGTAGCATTTACAATGATGCGAGGATAAATTTTGGAAAATTCTGGACAAATTCTTTAACCAAGGAAAGTTAAAGTCTAATTTGAATAACCTCCCGTTGGCCTGCTTACAAACAGTCACATATTCTTAAGAAGTACATGTACAAATGAGAAACATTTACTGAAATGTATCATACTAGTGAGTGTTACAGAAAAATCTATGAGTTTCAAATGTGTTTTAAACCGGCGTTTCCAATAGTTTTCGAATTATGTTATACCGAAAGTAAGACGGACTTCTCACTGATGCTGCAGTTCTGATTCTCTCTGAAGCGTGTGTCGCTCACAGATAACTGAAGGTAATTACTCTTTAGACAAAGAGCGATAAACTGAGAAAAAAACAAAAAAAACAGATGTGGCTCTGGTCTGCCCTCATGAACCAGCAGGGTTCATGAGGGTCTTGCTCTGAATTCCCCCCGAGGTGGCTAATTTGTCATTCTGTCTGCATCCTGCAAAGTTTGCAAAGTATGCAACTAGTACATTCCTTCTCTCGCAGGCCCTACGTGTTGCAGCTCAGACCTCCAGTTTGTAGGCCTGGCTGAACACAGACACAGAATCAGAAGCAACATCTCCGGCATCTATTTCAACTTCACTAGGTTTTACTACATAATTATATACATTTTACTTGGTTAAATACTTTTACTTGGTTAAATACATTTTACTTGGTTAAATAACTGTTGTTGGGGTGCTGTATTACTCTTAAAAAGAAAGTCAGATATACGGCATTTTCTGAATTCAGCAGAGAGAAAACAGAAAAACCTAACACACAGACCATATGTCACTGAGATCTACTGAGAACGACCCCCGAAGGGATTTCACAGGCCGTACCTATATTTGATCAAGCCCCCCAGCTCAGACCCCAGTCGTAGGCCAGGCACAGAATCAGAAGTAACATCTCCATTCCAAATCTATTTAAACTTCAGTAGGCATAGTATATAATTATATACATTTTTCTTGATTAAATAACTGTTGTTGTATTGGTATTACTCTTAAAAAAGAAAAAATCAATAGGAGCTTTCAAGAAAACAAAGAATAATAGAGGTCTAAGAAATGTTCATTTAAGGAGGGGTACATCCTGACATCTGGAAGGGAGGGAGGGGGAAGGTGTGTGTGTGTGTGTGTGTGCGTGCGTGTGTGTGTGTGTGTGTGTGTGTGTGCGGGGGTGTGTGTGTGTGTGTGTGTGCGTGCGTGTGTGTGCGTGTGTGTGTGTGGGGGTGTGTGGGTGTGTGTGTGTGAGGGGGGAGAGGGAGGGGGGCGTTAAATAGAGGTCAAAGGGGCGTGGCACCTGTCAAAATGAGATTTGATGACAACCTACCCCTAATGTCTCTCTAGCCACTTTCTATGCAGCCAATTGCGTGTTCTTATGCAGGTTAATGCATTATAAATATTGATCACGGCGGGATAAATAGCCAATCAGCTTGCTTGAAACTAATTGTGCATCATTACGTGTACATTTAGCAGCAGAAGAGTTGCACCTTTAAATAGAAACTCCTCCTTTAAAGAAGACACACTTTTGAGCATTAGTTTGTTGTCACACACCTCACCCCGACAACTAAAACGCAAGACGACTTCATTCTCTTTTTGCCTCTGTTTCGTCTGAAAAAGTGCTTCACTCATTTTGGACCAGGTAACATAGCTCCTATTTGCTAAAGTCAATCAGAAATTATGATTAAGTCAAACGTTGTCGACATGTTTAGAACAAATGTTTTTTTTTTAACCCGACACGCAAAAAATGTTCTTAAAAAGATATGACTTTGAATTTTCTCTCAAAATTCGCCTTCGAATTCATTCTCAAGTGACTCCGTCTTCTTCTTTCAGAATCATGAAGGTCCTGCCATTCTGCCTGCTCGTCTGCTTGCTCCTCCTGCAGGCCGCCGCCTCCGAGTTCGCAAACGCGACCGGCGGCCCGGGCCTGGAGAACGACATGCCGGATCGCTACGAGAAGTTCAGGAGGCAGCATGTGGACAAAAAAATGGTGCCGTCAAAATGCACGCAGGAGATGAAGCGGAAGAAGATCTACGAGGACAACAACGTCTGCAAGTTGACCAACACGTTCATTCTAGCGGACTCCAGGGAAGTCCTGGATGTCTGCAGGGGTCAAGGCGTTTATAACAATGAAAGCCATTACACGGAGAGCAAGAAGAAGTTCAGAATTGTGGTTTGTACTGCCAAGAAACAAGGCAGGAAGCCCAAATGTCTCTACAAGGGAAGAAGTCTGAATAACAGAGTCATTGCTGTGACTTGCCAGAATGGTTATCCTGTGCACTTTGCAGAATATTATGGGGAGGAAAATGCTTTCAAACAAGACGCTAATATTTTCTGAGCAACTTTTTAAAATCAAAGGTACTTACTATATGTATCCACCTTTTTATGCATTTTAAGAAACAACTATGTCTTTCATTTTTTGTGTTTAAAACCTTCCACCAAATATGTGTTTTCCTCAAAGTGCAAACAAAATAAAGTCATTAAAATGAACCTACTGCTTAATGAAGAGCTGTGTTGTGCTTATGTTGGTGATCATGAATTACACACCATTAAAAACAGTGTTTCAGAAAACAAACACTTAAATATTACATTAAAATAAACCGCCAGAAGAAGAAGATGGAAAAGACTTGAGACGGGTTTAGTCTTCCACCTAAACTTTGTTGTTTCTAGCAACTCAGTTTGAGTTCAGTCTTCAAATCTGTAAGCTTCTCATCAGTTTCAGAATCATGAAACTGTTTCTCATATTTCATCCCATTATCCATTTTTAGGTTTCTGACACTATTGCATGATTAAACACTCATGGGGTCAAACTGACCTACGAACACTATTGCTGTACCTCAGAAAGGAACATATCAGGAGATAATAATCAATAATCTCAACCGACATGAAATGAAAATACAACGTGTCGTTTCATACAATAAATGCAAATATTTGGTTTAAACACCGACAGGCTCAGAATCCTCCTTCATTCAAAGCAGACCTGCAGTCTTCAAGATAAAACAAACCGCATTTGAATGAATTTGTGAAACCGTTTCCCTGCTGCACTCAAACAAAAAAAAATCATTCTTGCTATTTTGAAACATGATGTGACATTTTATGAGGTTACTCATTAAGAGCAAATACTTAAAACAATTTGTTTCTTCAAATAATAATAATAAAAATAGTAGAATAAACTACCTAACTCTTGTTTGTCTTTCTTTTGTCAGATTTACAATTTAAAATGAAGCTTCTTTCACACTGTGACTCTACAGTAAGAAACATAAGCCAAGCCTAGGAGCTTCTTTTTCATATTTTTGCCTGCAATAAATTAGAACTGTACTTTCAGTGTGGATCTCTGCATTTCTGGTCTCATTTGGTGAAGAATAGCTCAAACTAAAGAGAGGATCCTGGCTCCTTGTGTGTAACAATATTAAAAGGACATATCTGTGAATTTCCTGACCTTAAAGGTTTTGCATAACCCACATTCCCATCTTAGAATATGCTCATTTTTACTGATTTCTGCTCAGATATGGGTTTATCTTTATTCAAAATGGTTAAATTGGTCTCACCTGTATGCTATATAACAAGCCCAGACCACTTGGAGTTCAGCTTCAGAGACTTTGCTCCATCAAGATCTTCAGCAGTCCGTGCTTCAGACAACCAAGTCTATCGACAGTCAGCTGAAAGGAAAAATAACATCCAGTATGTGACTTCATTGAGATTTTTTCCATTTAATCCTTGATAACTTACACTGTTGGACTCAGACGCATCGATGCCATGAACAAACAGCAATGCGATGATGTGATGGCAACACAAGTCAATACTGGGGGCAATGCCAACCTGAAGAAACCTTCTTTGTGGCGACTCTCAGTGCTGTCAATGCCCTCTGTAAAAATGTGAACGAGGCTCTTGCCACATTTCCAGGTGTTCACTGTGGACAGAAAATAATTGGGCTCTAACTTTGTACCTATGTAGGTCATGAACATGAAGTGAAAGTTAAGCTCCAATGTAAAAATGATCAAGTTGAGAAATTTGTTTAAGTTTAAAGACTTGCTTCAAAGCGATATAAAAATTTGGAGCTCATGTTCATCCTGATCCAATCTTAAGCTACTTCTGTTTACATTGTCATCTGATTCTCTACATGTAACCATGTCTGAACCTCCAGAGAGTCTTTTCTTTTAAGCCTTCTTAACATCTGATGTTTTAGCTTTGGCTTATTTCTCGTCTCTGCTTAATCCAAATAAACTCATTGCTTGCAATCTGAGACAACCGCTTTCTCAATGTTTTACTCTTACAAAATGTCAGAGTGTTATTTGTGCAACAGTTTTGAAAAGACAAAAAATATCTTAAATCTGGCCTTTGCCTGTTTTTTACAGCAACGATTTAGACATGAATGTTCATTTGCAGTAAAACGTCTCACTTGTTTTAAAATGTGTTGCTGTAATAAAAAGACTAAATGAGCCAATAACAGATGCAATTCATATGATCAGCTATATTAATTACTATTCAAATCAATTTAGTTATAATACAGAAATGCTAGTCAATAATTTTTGACAGATCATTGAAAGGAAATCCAGGGCAGGATGAATGAGGGACCTGAAAGTAGCAGGATGCAGGACTCAGTTATTTTTTAAATAAATGAACAGAAATACTTACAGTTGAGAGCGAATCAACCAGGAAATTAAATACTCTGAGAGGGAATGAAGACAAGAGGCTGGAGGAGGGTTGATGACAAAAACGAACCTGGTGCGACACTGAAAGAGGAAGGAAAGCAGCACCTTCAAAATAAAACAGGAAACGAGGGCTTAAAGACGAAAATGGAAATGAGAGAATTAGCCCACAATGAAAACAAAACAAAGATTTCACATTTCTTTGCTTGTTTGTCAGACACCCATTGAGTAAATTTGAATGCAGCAGCGCCCTCTGCTGTTTAACAAGGGTAAACAACAATAATACTGCTGCATGTTTACATTTAAGTGGTAGGTCACTGAATATCTTCCAAAAGTCAAACTCTTATGCTCTGTTGACTCTTTTTTCCCCCTTTTACACAAAATGATGGATTTCAAACAATTATTTTTATGATCTATTCACCTTCTATTCAAAAAGCAGACTCAAAAACACTGATGTGGAACAAACTATTTAATATAGTTACAAAAATAAGCACAAAAATATTTCAGGCAGTGAAAACTCAGCCACACACAAAGCTCAGCTCAGACCATGAGCTGTTCTTCCATGTATGAATAGATTCTGTTTTCCTTTCTTCTGATATGTATATATTTAAAAACACAGAAAAAACAGTCAGTCAATATGGAGTAAAACTCGTGAAGTCAACATTCCAGTGCAGAAGCAGATTCTCCTCTTTCTTTCTGCTTCTCCGACTCGTTGGGAGGAGTTGGTTCTGATCAGGAAGAGACAAGAAAAGATTTGTGCACATTCGCTCCAACTGGACGATAATCAGTCGGCTCGTTTTGAGTAAAAGCAGCACCTCTGGACTTTCTCAGTCCTCCTTCAGGTTGTCGATGAGTTCCTGGGTCTGCTGGGCCAGCCTCCTCCTCTCGGCCTGCTGCCTCTTCAGGTCCTCCTCGGCTTTCCTGCTCTGGTAAATCTTGACCCCGGCGAAGGCCAAGCACAGCAGCAGCGTCTTCAGGGCCAGGATGTAGAAGAGGAGGGGGACGTTGTCCAGGGCCTGGAAAAGCAGATTGAGAAAATCATTTCAGGAGGTCTTTGGTGAATTTTTAAATACTGTGATGGAGGAGAAATGCCTGGAATAATCAGAAATGTCTCCTCCCCTCTCTGTGATCCTCCTGCAGCAGCTGCTGCTGCAGGAAGTGAACTTGAGAGGGGGGCTGCATGAGAGAGAGTAGCAGCTGCACCATGTGTATTAAAAGCTGCAGCCCATATATTTATACAGCCAACAAGAAGCTAGATCAGATCTTGCTCCCAAAATCTGAAACTGCAGCATTCTAACTAATGTGCATCAAATTTAATAGCTGTTTGGTTAGCTCTGAAAACATTAGCATTGTGTTTAGCAGCAATTCAAAAAGCAATGTAAATCACTGGCAGCTTTAAAGGAAGCTAACCTGCTTAGCTAATTATCCAAAATAATCATCATGATCAGAATAAACGCATTTTTACATTATTACCTTCCAGTTGATCATTTTCGTTGCTGTAATGCGATTCTCCCCTGCTATGCGCAAGCGCTATTAATTTCTTCTGAAGGAGGCGGGGCTTAGACTGATCGACCAATAGAAATGATGTTTGTTCGAAGCGTCAGCTGCGAGGCGTTGGTGACAAATGAGAACTTTTCCTTAAAGTCCACCTTAAAAGAGTCAAACCGTGTTTTAGTAATTATAGTTAGTGGTACTAAAATATAAATATCTGAGCTTTGATAACTTTGTGAATTTGGCGAACTATTTTTGGAGTTTGAATTGCTGTCAAGTGTTTAGTGAGAACTTCACGAAGTGGCTTTGAATGCACCACCAGCCAGAGTGCAACTAATTTAGTGGTACCTTTCTGTTATTGAATAAAACCCTCAGCGAACACTTAAATAACTCAACACTGGCAAAATTATTTATGAAAGTTAAACTGTCAAAAACAGACGTCGTTTCTGAAATGTGGTTCAACAGATCAAAACCCGAGAAATTGCTTCTACACCTGCAAAAAGAGAGAGAAGAAAATCAGACCAAGATGTCACAGCAAGAAAAAATATTGTGAACGTTGATGCTGAAAATAATGACTAAATCAAGACCTTTCAAACCCAACCACGCATCTAAGCAGGTGAGTAAAAAAAAAAATTGTGTGGTCGCATCGCTTGAGCTGAAGGCATTTGGATTGTTTTTCCCTCCACAGGAAGCCATGACGGCTGTGGCCGTCCTGATCCTCGCTCTCGATGCAGCCGAGGTCTTCCAGAAGCACGTCGTCACCAGCATGAATTCCTACAGTTGCGAAAGCAAAATGAGAACGATGAATAAACCTGCAAACGGTGCAAGCTGACCAATACCTTCTTCTTGGACCCAGAAGGAGTCCTTACCGGAATCTGTAACTTCGGCAATGGCCGTCAAACACTGGCTATAAATCTCAAATTATTGATTGTAAAAGTTTTAAGAACTGAAACAGATACCCTCATTGCAAACAAAGCTGTCAAAGGACGAACAAAGAGTGTTTCAGTCCGGTGTAATGAAAACCGTGTGGCTTATCACCTGGATGACTTCGTGAGAAAAAATAAATTATGGCTAATTTTCCACTTTGTACTGCGTCTATGTTCTGTACAAGCAGCAACGACTGATATCTGGAACAACTTTTCCGCTTGGAACCTTTTCCTCGTCAATTGCTATTTGAAATAAAGCATTTCATTTTCTGCAGCCTGGAAATAATATTGACAAACAATAAAGCAAATTGAAATGTAACCACCAGACTCGTCTCTGATGTTCACTTTTTCACTATTTTTGTTTTTTGAAAACTAAAAAAAATGAAAACTTTCCAGCACAAATGGCTTTTCAGTGGTGTTTTTTTTCCCCCTCAATCCTGTACAAACAGCAGAGGGCGCTGCTGTCCAACTTGTGGCACCATCTTTGACTGATCTTTATAATAATATCGCTACATTTCATTGTGGCTTTAGAAAAATCACCCGCGCTGTCTTTCAATGCACATTTCTCTCTGTCGCACTTACATTAATTTAACCACCATGACATTCAGATCCAACCACAGTGAGATCAGGTCTAAATCAGATGCATGCATTCGAATGTCTAAACATCAAGAAGCTTGCTCTGTTCTGTAAAACCAATGACAGCTGGTTTTGCAATTTATCCCTTCACAGGATTCTAGTTGATTTTATATAACATAAAGTGGCCCAGTTTTTAGATAGTGGGCTCAGAATTTCCTAGACCAGACAAGAAGGTTAAATTCTTGTAAACAGGAGTTCTTGTGGTCACAATGGCCAGACAGATAGTTAACAGCTCCACTATAGTTTGTCTCTTGTTTTGAAGTGAAACAGGCAACAGTGAATTTATTTCTGTCGTCGAGATCATGAGTTACAGCTACTGCTTTGCAAAAACAGGGTTTCACTATTAAAATAATAACACCTACAGCTGTGCTTCAGACTTCCCTGCAGGTAAATGCAACATTCAGTGTCTTTGCTCAGTCTATGCAGGTCATGCATGTGTGACTGCAGCTGCTGCAGGTGTGGTTTTGTGGTCCTTTCAGTGAAAATCCTCCGTCCACACTGTTCACGAGAAATCTCCCCACTGCGCATCAGCTGAGACTCGTTTTTAGTATTTATATTAAAGCCAATATTCAGATGCAACTTCAATCAATTTTTCCAACAAGCTGAATTCCTTTTTAATCTCATCTGACTTCCTTTTCAGGATACGCGCAAAGAGACTCTCAGCAGCTCTGGTTTGTGGTCGGCCATGTTTGTTTCCCCCCCTTCATCACCTTCCCAGAACTCACTCATTTGATTCAGTAAAATCATTTTTAGCTTGTGGTCCTGCCTGTTATGAGCCACTTTCTATGCAGCCAATTGCGTGTTCTTATGCAGGTTAATGCATTATAAATATTGATCACGGCGGGATAAAATAGCCAATCAGCTTGCTTGAAACTAATTGTGCATCATTACGTGTACATTTAGCAGCAGAAGAGTTGCAACTTTAAATAGAAACTCCTCCTTTAAAGGAGACACACTTTTGAGCATTAGTTTGTTGTCACACACCTCACCCCGACAACTAAAACCCAAGACGACTTCATTCTCTTTTTGCCTCTGTTTCGTCTGGAAAAAGTGCTTCACTCATTTTGGACCAGGTAACATAGCTCCTATTTGCTAAAGTCAATCAGAAATTATGATTAAGTCAAACGTTGTCGACATGTTTAGAACAAATGTTTTTTTTTAACCCGACACGCAAAAAATGTTCTTAAAAAGAGATGACTTTGAATTTTCTCTCAAAATTCGCCTTCGAATTCATTCTCAAGTGACTCCGTCTTCTTCTTTCAGAATCATGAAGGTCCTTCCATTCTGCCTGCTCGTCTGCTTGCTCCTCCTGCAGGCCGCTGCCTCCGAGTTCGCAAACGCGACCGGCGGCCCGGGCCTGGAGAACGACGCGCGGGCTCGCTACGAGAAGTTCAAGAGGCAGCATGTGGACAAAAAAATGGCAGCGTCAAAATGCACGCAGGAGATGAAGCGGAAGAAGATCTACGACGACAACAACGTCTGCAAGGAAGTTCATTCTCGCTGCCTCCAAGGAAGTCCTGGATGTCTGCAGGGGTCAAGGCGTTTATAACAATGAAAGTCATTACACAGAGAGCAAGAAGAAGTTCAGAATCGTGGTTTGTACTGCCAAGAAACAAGCCAGAAGCCCAAATGTGACTACAAGGGAAAAAGTCTGAATAACAGAGTCATTGCTGTGAGTTGCCAGGATGGTTATCCTGTGCACTTTGCAGAATATCATGGGGAGGAAAATGCTTTAAAACAAGATGCTAATATTTTCTGAGCAACTTTTTAACATCAAAGGTACTTCCTATATATATATATATATATATATATATATATATATATATATATATATACACACCTTTGGATGCATTTTAAGAAACAACTATATCTTTCATTTTTTGTGTTTAAAACCCTCCACAAATATTGTTTGTTCCTCAAAGTGCAAACAAAATAAAGCTGTTAAAATGAACCTACTGCTTAATGAAGAGCTGTGTTGTGCTTATGACGGTGATCATGAATTACACACTATTAAAAATAGTGTTTCAGAAAACAAACACTTAAATATCACATTAATATAAACTGCCAGAAGAAGAAGAGACTCTCCGACAGGTCAGAATCCTCCTTCATTCAAAGCAGACCTGCAGTCTTCAAGATAAAACAAACCGTATTTGAATGAATTTGTGAAACCGTTTCCCTCCTGCACTCAAACAAAAAAAAAGTCATTCTTGCTATTTTGAACATGATGTGACATTTTATGAGGTTATCCATTAAGAGCAAAAACAATTTGTTTCTTCAAATAATAATAATAAAAATAGTAGAATAGACTACCTAACTCTTGTTTGTCTTTCTTTTGTCAGATTTACAAATTTAAAATGAAGCTTCTTTCACACTGTGACTCTACAGTAAGAAACATAAGCCAACCCTAGGAGCTTCTTTTTTATTTTTGCCTGCAATAAATTAGAACTGTACTTTCAGTGTGGATCTCTGCATTTCTGGCCTCATTTGGTGAAGAATAGCTCAAACTAAAGAGAGATCCTGGCTCCTTGTGTGCAACAATAATAAAAGGACATTTCTGTGAATTTCCCTGACCTTAAAGGTTTTGCATAACCCACATTCCCATCTTAGAATATGCAAATTTTTACTGATTTCTGCTCAGATATGGGTTTATCTTTATTCAAAATGGATAAACTGGTCTCACCTGGATACTATATAACAAGCCCAGACCACTTGGAGTTCAGCTTCAGAGACTTTGCTCCATCAAAGATCTTCAGCAGTCCGTGCTTCAGACAACCAAGTCTATCGACAGTCAGCTGAAAGGGAAAAATAACATCCGGTATGTGACTTCATTGAGATTTTTTCCATTTAATCCTTGATAACTTACACTGTTGGACTCAGACGCATCGATGCCATGAACAAACAGCAATGCGATGATGTGATGGCAACACAAGTCAATACTGGGGGGCAATGCCAACCTGAAGAAACCTTCTTTGTGGCGACTCTCAGTGCTGTCAATGCACTCTGTAAAAATGTGAACGAGGCTCTTGCCACATTTCCAGGTGTTCACTGTGTACAGAAAATAATTGTGGGCTCTAACTTTTGTACCTATGTAGGTCATGAACATGAAGTGAAAGTTAAGCTCAAGTTGAGAAATTTGTTTAAGTTTAAAGACTTGCTTCAAAGCGATATAAAAATTTGGAGCTCATGTTCATCCTGATCCAATCTTAAGCTACTTCTGTTTACATTGTCATCTGATTCTCTACATGTAAACATGTCTGAACCTCCAGAGTCTTTTTTTTAAGCCTTCTTAACATCTGATGTTTTAGCTTTGGCTTATTTCTCGTCTCTGCTTAATCCAAATAAACTCATTGCTTGCAATCTGAGACAACCGCTTTCTCAATGTTTTACTCTTACAAAATGTCAGAGTGTTTTTGTGCAACAGTTTTGAAAAGACAAAAATATCTTAAATCTGGCCTTTGCCTGTTTTTTACAGCAACAATTTAGACATAAATATTCATTTGCAGTAAAACGTCTCACTTGTTTTAAAATGTGTTGCTGTAATAAAAAGACTAAATGAGACAATAACAGATGCAATTCATATGATCAGCTATATTAATTACTATTCAAATCAATTTAGTTATAATACAGAAATGCTAGTCAATAATTTTTGACAGATCATTGAAAGGAAATCCAGGGCAGGATGAATGAGGGACCTGAAAGTAGCAGGATGCAGGACTCAGTTATTTTTTAAATAAATGAACAGAAATACTTACAGTTGAGAGCGAATCAACCAGGAAATTAAATACTCTGAGAGGGAATGAAGACAAGAGGCTGGAGGAGGGTTGATGACAAAAACGAACCTGGTGCGACACTGAAAGAGGAAGGAAAGCAGCACCTTCAAAATAAAACAGGAAACGAGGGCTTAAAGACGAAAATGGAAATGAGAAATTAGCCCACAATGAAAACAAAACGATAAATTCACATTTCTTTGCTTGTTTGTCAGACACCCATTGAGTAAATTTGAATGCAGCAGCGCCCTCTGCTGTTTAACAAGGGTAAACAACAATAATACTGCTGCATGTTTACATTTAAGTGGTAGGTCACTGAATATCTTCCAAAAGTCAAACTCTTATGCTCTGTTGACTCTTTTTTTCCCCCTTTTACACAAAATGATGGATTTCAAACAATTATTTTTATGATCTATTCACCTTCTATTCAAAAAAGCAGACTCAAAACACTGATGTGGAACAAACTATTTAATATAGTTACAAAAATAAGCACAAAAATATTTCAGGCAGTGAAAACTCAGCCACACACAAAGCTCAGCTCAGACCATGAGCTGTTCTTCCATGTATGAATAGATTCTGTTTTCCTTTCTTCTGATATGTATATATGTAAAAACACAGAAAAAACAGTCAGTCAATATGGAGTAAAACTCGTGAAGTCAACATTCCAGTGCAGAAGCAGATTCTCCTCTTTCTTTCTGCTTCTCCGACTCGTTGGGAGGAGTTGGTTCTGATCAGGAAGAGACAAGAAAAGATTTGTGCACCTTGCTCCAACTGGACGATAATCAGTCGGCTCGTTTTGGTAAAAGCAGCACCTCTGGACTTTCTCAGTCCTCCTTCAGGTTGTCGATGAGTTCCTGGGTCTGCTGGGCCAGCCTCCTCCTCTCGGCCTGCTGCCTCTTCAGGTCCTCCTCGGCTTTCCTGCTCTGGTAAATCTTGACCCCGGCGAAGGCCAAGCACAGCAGCAGCGTCTTCAGGGCCAGGATGTAGAAGAGGAGGGGGACGTTGTCCAGGGCCTGGAAAAGCAGATTGAGAAAATCATTTCAGGAGGTCTTTGGTGAATTTTTAAATACTGTGATGGAGGAGAAATGCCTGGAATAATCAGAAATGTCTCCTCCCCTCTCAAGTTCACTTCCTGCAGCAGCTGTCTGCTGCAGGAAGTGAACTTGAGAGGGGAGGCTGCATGAGAGAGAGTAGCAGCTGCACCATGTGTATTAAAAGCTGCAGCCCATATATTTTATACAGCCACAAGAAGCTAGATCAGATCTTGCTCCCAAAATCTGAAACTGCAGCATTCTAACTAATGTGCATCAAATTTAATAGCTGTTTGGTTAGCTCTGAAAACATTAGCATTGTGTTTAGCAGCAATTCAAAAAGCAATGTAAATCACTGGCAGCTTTAAAGGAAGCTAACCTGCTTAGATAATTATCCAAAATAATCATCATGATCAGAATAAACGCATTTTTACATTATTTACCTTCCAGTTGATCATTTTCGTTGCTGTAATGCGATTCTCCCCTGCTATGCGCAAGCGCTATTAAATTTCTTCTGAAGGAGGCGGGGCTTAGACTGATCGACCAATAGAAATGATGTTTGTTCGAAGCGTCAGCTGCGAGGCGTTGGTGACAAATGAGAACTTTTCCTTAAAGTCCACCTTAAAAGAGTCAAACCGTGTTATTAGTAATTATAGTTAGTGGTACTAAAATATAAATATCTGAGCTTTGATAACTTTGTGAATTTGGCGAACTATTTTTGGAGTTTGAATTGCTGTCAATGTTTAGTGAGAACTTTCACGAAGTGGCTTTGAATGCACCACCAGCCAGAGTGCAACTAATTTCGGATACATACTGGACAGAGCTGGACAGTTCCAGAAAGAAAGTAGTTAAAGACATGCATTAATGGTGACATGTTAAAAAGCAAATAAGTTTTTAAAAAATGGTTAAAACTCGGAGGCAAGACGGCAGAAAGGCATTGCAACTCGTGGTACATCTGGTCTAACAGTAGTTGTGTCTATTACAGTACGTCTAACAGTATACGCTTGAAAAACGATGTACATTCCGTTCAACAATATAATTTATCCGTTAATTCTGCCCAATACGTCAACGTTTATATTGTGACGTAATGACGTATTAGGGCATGCGTAGTCACGGTGGCCGAGAGGTTAAGGCGTTGGACTCGAAATCCAATGGGGTTTCCCCGCACAGGTTCGAATCCTGTTCGTGACGAAGTTTAATTTATTATCTTTTATGTCGCTTAAATGTTTTCATTTAGGTTTGGATTATCCTGGGGTGACAATTTGTTTTAAATTTATATTAAGTACTGTAGCATTACAAGTGTGTAAAGTTGCATTAATGTATCAAGTTTAATTAACTCTTTACAGTAGCCATGTTTGCTCGTTTTATTTCCACAAGTGACATAAATTATACCAGACATGGACATTCAAGTTGGAATAATTACAGAACCCACTGAATACTAGATTGTCTCTGTGCTGCAGTATAAAACATAACGCAACGGTTGACACAAGCAATATGGACTGATATCATTTTGCACATTTGTAACAGCTGACAAAGGCGAAACATTCAAGTATATTTTTAAATATTATGTAGAAGCTCAGCAGCCTCTGAACAAACAGAATGAGAAGTAGTGGCGTTGGACGCTGCCTTTTTCTTTTAAATCGCTTACAAAATAAACAGACACATAAATACGTCAGTTTCTTTCCTGGCACCTGTTCTCCATGTTTGTTTTTCAATTTATGTCTCTGTCACAACTTAAACGCCTAGATATGATCCCGCCATCCTCTGTTTTGTTTCGACACAAACGTAACGTCAGATTTCGCCCGGAAAAAAAAAATCACAGGAATGTATTTACACTTGTTAAAAAGAAAACGTTTTTAGTAAACTCACCATTTCTGCCAAGTCGGAGTCATGCCGTTGGCTGCAGCTGCAGAGTTCATGGTGTTTGAATGATTTGCATCTCGCATGCGGTCAGCTCATACTTTTACGTCAACAGTTAAGTAACAGTTCAGCTTTTGTCACATAGAAAAAATCATAACATAAAAATCACTTTGGCTATGCAAAGACACATGCTGCTTTCATTTCTCTCAAAGTCTCGAATATTGAGAAAACAAATATAGTTCTGACACCAGAATTCTGAGATTAACATAAATCTGAGATTCAGTGTAGAACAAAAAGATAAAAAATTCTCATATTAATGACATTTTATTAAGTGTTTCATTAGGATAAAGAGGAGTTTAGCTGGAACGAAATAAAACTTGTACATGGGTCTAAACATTTATTGCACACCAACATAGAAGTGGCGTGTTTGTTTTAATCTCCCTTAACCCTGATACCCTGGAATGCAATCAATGTGTCTTTACTAGCAAATAGTAAACAGTGTCCATTAACTCGTAATTACATTTCAGAATAAACCCAGATGTTCTGTGATGGCCTCAGGTGAGACCAGAACTGAACTGTTGCCTGAACTGAAACCGACGCCCCTGAAAACTAATTTTCTCCTTCCACTTCACAGTTACGCTCCACTTTGGTTCATGTTCGTCTAGCGCATAAAACGCTAATAAAATGAGCTCAGGGTTTGTGGTAAAAGGGGAATGAAAACTGTTGCGGGGCAGCCTGTCTACATGCATACTGCCCCAATCATGGCTGACTCAGCGATTTGCAGGTACAGCCTTTAGAAATAACCTAATTGTGATTGCTTGCGATTTTGCGCTCTCTCAAGTTCTTTATCGTGGTCTTCTGCTGACGTCTACCTTGCCAGCTGACGCATGCTTGGCCATGCATTTTGCATCCCAGAGGCTCCAGTTCGAAGTCAGAGGTAGTATGTTGCAGTAAGTACTGTCCTCTGTCCACGGCTCGGTGGTCGCTCTAACGCGGGACAGATGACGGCGCAGGGGGACGTCTCCTGCTGCGTCTGAAAGAGACGCTTCAGTTCTCACCCTATCCTCGGTATCTGTGCTCATAGGCGCCCCCTGTGGTTCGTTCTGGACATGGTGAGCGGCAAAGACACGGAGGAGAGGGAGGACACCTCCCAGTAGAGCGAGCGGGACAGAAAGAGCTGGTAGAGGATCACCATGGAGATGGACTGGCAGAGGATCACGCCGATGCTGATGACCTATAGAACAAAAGGTCGTGACAGAGGTATTGAAGACCGATTTCAGGTGGCGGACAGTGAAATTCTGCAAGTTGTGGTCTCGCACCTTTTCCCTCTGGTGGTCGTTGAAGACCACAGACATGAGGACGAGGCTGGGGTGACAAAGGAACCACAGGAAGCAGCCCTGCAGAGAGAAGACGAGCCAGAGGTTAGGTGGCTGTCGGGCCCGGAGGCTGCCGGCGGAGCTCAGAGTCGTCACCTTAGCGAAGCAGAGGTAGAAGTCTCTCTTCAGGGTGCTCCTCTCTGTGGAGACGATCTGATAGAGGATGGAGGCCAGCAGGAGGGACAGCGCCACTCTCAGAGCCAGGAGGAGGAGACCTGCTAGGCTACGTTGGGCGTGATAGCTGTGGTGCTCGCTCTCTGACTCAGAGTACTGCTCCCATAGCAATAGGACTCCCTGGGAACCACAGATCGGGTCAACATGTAGACGAAGCGTCGGATTGCTCCCTGCCTGCCATGACTGACCATATCAACTTCTTCGTGGACAACATCAACAACAACAAACAACAACAAAACCTGCAGCTGGTACCTGTGTGACCACGCCGCCAACAGCGACGGCCGTGGACGCCGGGGAGCGCTCCCACTGCAGAGGTCTGGACTGCGGCTTCCTGCCTCGACTCAGAGTCCAGCCCATGCACAGGCTCAGCAGCATGTACAGCATGGACACCTGGGACACCATGTCCCAGACTGCACGGCGACACACACAGAAGCGCAGAGAAGGCGTGACTAAAGGTGTTTAACTGACGTGTGAGTAGAGTTAAGGTGAGGCGTGGAGCGTAACGTACACTCTGCCAGGCTGCCCATCAGCGGGATCCCGGTACCGTCTCTGGAGTACCTGCCGGACAACAGATGACACAGTTTTTGTTCAACTTAAAGAAAAAAGCTCGCTTCAAAACCATTCATGTTTGAAACTTAATTCTGATTGTTTTCGTTTCTCCACAGAAACAAGTGAATGTTCAAAAGCTAAATAAACTGAGATTGTATTGACATTCTGTCGTCAATAATGAGTGGATAAATATTTGTGTGCATTACAGCAATCAAACACTTATAGATAGGATATCATGAAAGAGTCGAATATTTTCGTATCGCTCATTTCTGAAAGTAAAACTCATGATACACTGAATTGATGGTGGGTACGTATATAGCGCGGTTTGATGGAGGCTACCTGGCCAGGTGGATGTAGTTGCAGAAGGCGGAGCAGCCTTGCAGAGCCAGGGCCGTGGTCAGCACCTTAAGGACCGTGTGCATGGGGCCCCCTTTCTTCAGTGCCTGATATAAAGGCTGGAAGTAGATGCAGCAGGCGATGAAGTAGGCGAGCAACAGGAGGAAGTAGAAACTGTGCAGCCCTGAGAAAAACACATTAAAAAGACGGTTAAAATCGAAACCCCAGGAACAAACATGGCCGTCCTCCTAAACCGACATCGTGTGTCAGGGATGTCTGACCTGCTTCCTCTGCGCTGAAGTGATCCAGCGGGTTCCCAGCAGAGTCGGGGTTGAACAGCAGGAGAGTGAAGCCAAGGTCAGCGTATGACGGCGTCGCTGAACTTTCCTAATGACAAAAACAAACAACGGGAATATTTCCTCATCCCAACAGTTGTGCATGAACTTTATGTCTGTGGAAACGCATAACAGTCCCAGTTACCTCGCACGTGTATCTGTCGGCGTACAGCACCTGCCAGGGTGTGGGCGAGGACTGACGAGGGATCGTCTGGTTGTGTTCCTCCTGGCTGAGGGACACTGAAGCAGGCGGTGGGGAGAAAAGATCAGTTGATGGCGGCGTCTTGATCTCGTCGTAGTAATAAACCAGAACACTTACCGGTGAACTGGGCTCTGCTGAGTTGCTGGGAGCAGCTCAGGTTGTCCAGGTCTGAGTCCATGTCCTGGTACAGCAGCAGCCTGGCCTCCTTCTCCGTTCCCAGGGACGGGTTGTCCAGCCGACACACCAACAGCCCTCCGCCACCTGCTAAAATGAAACAAGAAAATATCAAACGCTTTCTACTTAACACTTAGTAATATTTTATTTAAAAAAGGAGCCACTAAATTGATGTCTATTTTTTTCCTCCATATCTTCACTTAGCAGAAAACATTTCAAAATGAATGTGAACAACAACAAAAAATAGACTATTTAACTTAAGGGGAATTAATATAGATCAATTTTTAAAATTTCTACTAAAACAGTAAACAAAACTATTGCATTACATGTCCAGGATTTCAGGGGGATTAAGAGAGTTGGTGATGATGATAATCACTGCAGACATTACTAGTCCAAGTTAATGATTAGTCAGTTAGTTTCACCCTTATATGAAGACAATAAGGCATTAAAAATGAATGGAAGCAGTGATTTTTAATCAAGAATCAATGAGAGATGAGCAGCTTGTTCCCGTGCTGGAGTGACACGTTCGCGGCCACAGCTGCACATCAGCACCGTTACCTTGGTACATGAATTTGGTGATGAACTGGCCATTTTCCTGCTTCGCCGCTCCGCTCCTGAACGCCCCCCTCACGGTCTTCCCCGAGGCCTTCAGGCTGAGCAGCAGCAACACGGCGAGGGTTGCGGACAAACGCGACATTTTGCCCCCACCCCACGTTTGCAGAGAAATGACGATAAGGAAAATAAAACGTCGGGCTAATCAGTTCAATGAGCCACGAAGCCAGAAGTGAACCAGCGGCGTCGAGCTAACCGCGGTTAGCGAGTACTGAACCGGAAATGGACTGCTGGCGGCGAAAAATTAAAGCTATTTGTCCAATGACGACGTCAAGCCTTTCACACGTTTCATAATTAAACCGAATTGGATAATTTTGCAGACACATATTCAGTAAATCTTTTCGTTAATTTCAATTCACTTCAAATTTGGAACAATTATTTCTGCAAAAGTCAGTGAAAGCGACAAAGATGGATGAAAAATGTATCGAATGTATTATATAGCACCTAAACCTCATTATTCGGACACAAAAAAACTATTTAAACAACCGGAGCCACTGAGACTTACTTTGAAAAGAATACCGGATCATCATACATTATGTCTCGCTTGACGTTCATCCCATTTACTGCTGACAGTTCGATTGACTCAGGATTTACCCAACCAGGCCGTGGGAGTCATCCGACGTCACGCACTTTACCCAATCAAATTGCGTGGAGCGGTGTCCCAACGCGGAAACGCACCGCCTACTTTCAACGTGTCAACACTGCCGTTAAAGGGTTCGCAACTGTCGTGCATGGCACAATCCCTCTACTGTACGGAAGAAAATAAAGAACTTCTGTATTTTCCGTCAAAAAATATGTTTTTATGGCTAAAATAGAAATGACACCTAAAGGAAGAACAGAGGATGAACTTTAAAAGGACGGTTTTGGTGACTGGAGGGTCTGGATTCATGTAAGTTTCTATTAAAACGATGATAAAAGCTTAACTATATGGGGAACCTTTTGCTTCCGTTTTTCTAATTGAAATATTTGCACGTAAGTGACGTGCAAATATTTCAATTAGTTCTCTAATTTCGATATTTGCAGTGGCTCTCATCTGGTATGTTCGCTGGTCGCAAGTTACCCAGAGTGGAGGATTATTAACTTGGATATTGTGAGTCTGCAAAAACACATGCACGACCACAAAATGTACCTGAATGGGCTTTTTGTGACAAGTTTGACAACCTGGTTTGATAACCAGGTTTGATCAGTTTTTGCTCATCTTTAACACGGTTGAATTTAATATCGGACGGAGAAATATCTATTTGAAGTTGCACACATTCCAATATTACCTGATTGGAGATGATGGGAATGAGAAATAATCATAAATGTCATCTCCCCAACTCCAACATCTTTCTGCCTGCCAGATATTGAAAGAAGTGAAGCAAAAGCAAATGAGGTGGATAAACTGTTCTTGCCAACAACCATCTGTAGCTTCTTAAAGTGAAATATTGTACAATTCTGATTTATTAAACTTGGCAAAATAAGACTGGTATTTAAAACGAAGAACAATCCAAATTCTGCTTTTGAAAATTGATCTAGACTAAAAAAATACTCAAACCCCCTCTCTAAAAATATGGAAATGCCTTTCTTTTACGTTAGACAAACTTACAAAATTCATTGCTTTTTTTTTTTTTTTTAGAAACATTCCTTTCATTAAATAATAAATTGGTATTATTAAAGTGTTGCATATTAAGTTTGTGGTTGAATGGGTAAAAAAAAGACAAGATTTGCGTTTTTGATCTGGAAAAAATATAATTTTGAGGCACTTTCGACATGACTATGTTTGGACGCCGTTTTATTGCTGGAATAATTCAGGTCTGATTTTGCAGTTGGACTACTGCTGCAGTCCCAGGAGTCTGGAAGGGCTTGAAAACAGAGACAACTATGCTTTCATTCAGGTAAAAATTTGCCTTTTTAGGTTTCTTTTTGTGAATTGCAAATGGAATAAAACATCCTGTATTTTGTGCCTGCATGCTGAACAGGGAGACGTGTGTAACCCACAGTTGGTGAATCACATCTTCATCACTGAAAACATTGACGTCATCTTTCACCTGGCAGCTAAAACACATGTTGGTGAGAAGCGTCCGTTCAGATTTCACTTCGTAAGCAGTTCGGTTCAGTCCTTTACACCCTCCGTTTCCTCTCCCCCCTCAGAGTCCTCGTTCGAGTGCCCCTCTGTTTTCCAGCGGGTCAACGTCGACGGAACCAGGGTTCTACTGGATGCCGCCCATCGGGCTCGACACCAGCCGCAGCGCTTCGTCTATGTCAGCACGGATGAAGTGTACGGAACCAGCCTGGATGAGGTGCGTGAGGCTTTAATGTTTATGTTCCACCAGGTCGGATTCCAGATTAGATTGCGTTTCGCTTTCCTTTCAGGCGTTTGACGAGGGCTGTCCGCTGAGGCCGACCAATCCATACGCTGCTACTAAAGCAGCTGCTGAGTATCTGGTCAGGTCCTACTGGGACAAGTATCAGGTCTGGAGTTTTTCCATTTTATTTATTTTTAATCTTATTGAGGTTAATAACGTCACTTTGTTTTTTCCAGTTTCCGATCATTATCACCAGGAGTAACAACATCTACGGACCCAGGCAGTTCACAGAGAAGGTATAGCTAATCTACAACTGTTTCAAAAAATTAAGGTGCAGTCCGAGTATTTTAATTTGCTCCAAATGTTTCAGGTGATTCCCAGGTTTCTCACCTTGCTGCAGAACAACAACAAATGGTAGGTGTGGTCAAACTTACCAAGCGTACCTCACTATACAAGCCAAATGATGCGTTCTTCCTGCTGCAGCACCATCCAGGGATCCCTGCCCATATCCCGCCACTTCCTGTTCGTCAGCGACGCCGTCCAGGCCTTCCTGCTGGTTCTGGAGAAAGGGACGGTGGGCGACGCCTACAACGTGGGAACAAGCGTCGAGATTCCCATTGTGCAGCTGGCGAGGGAACTCGTCCGGATGGTGGGTCTCGTGAAACTGACGCATCAGTCGGTTTCAGAATTGAAACGCTTTCTGCTTCCTCCAGGTGAAGAATGTTACCGAATCTGAAGTGAATGACTGGATTGAGTTCGTCTCCAGCAGGTTAGGAAATTATGTGAATGAAGGTTTCTTTACCACCCTGCTTTCAGGAAATAGCCAGAGCAAATTTCACACAATACAGTGCATTTAATACTTTCAAAGATATTTCCTTTTAATGCATTTTCTTTCTTGATCTTAAAGGCCGCAGGTCGACCTTCGTTACCCAATCAGGAGTGAGAAGCTGCAGCGGCTGGGCTGGAGAGCAGAGACATCCTGGGCTGAAGGCATCAAACAAACAGGTTTAATAATCCACTCAGTGTGAAATGATCAGAGTTTATGACTGAAATCCATTGTTTTCTATATTCAAGGCTGGATGGACACCCTAAAATATGGATTCTCTTCTGCCATTGGTTACTTACCTGTCCTGTTTTCTGTGTGCTCGTCTTTCAGTGAAGTGGTACCAAGACAATCCGGACTTCTGGTTGGACTTCGATAAGGACCAGCGAATCAGAAAAGAGCCTGAAAACACCTCAAACACATGACCAGGCGTGGTTTGTCCTGCCTCTTGACTGACAGGAAGACCCGTTTCCCTCTCCATGAGATTTGTGACACAGCTATGGCTGATTATTCAGCTCAGGAGCAAAAATCATGTCAATTATGTTTTGAATGTGCCAGACGACGGTAAGGCTGAGCCCAACAGTTGGCGCCTGTAAATCAACGCCTCAAGCTTTTGTAATAAATAATTTTTGCTCAATTTAAGGCGAGTGTTTTTCCTCTTCTTGGTGTCCAACTGTGAGACGGCAAGAAGAAACCAACCCAGACACTGATCACATCTGCAAATCCAAACCTTTAATTGTGGTAAAATCGGAATAGTTGCACAGATTTTTTTTTTTCGTGCAGTGCTCTTCGTGCACACTTGCTAAACTAATACATAAAGCAAATACTAACTACCAGGCTGGTGCTTCTGCTAGATCACGTCGAGCGGTCTGGCCAATCAGTGATGAAGACAGCACTGGACTCCCAAAGTCTTTTAAATACACCCGCTAAAACAACAGTCATTCAGAAACACACCCCCACTTTTTTATTATTATTATTTAGATTGCAGTCTTTTTTGTTTTTTAACAGAGAAAGTCACAACAAAGTTGTTTTTGTGCAATTAGTTTGCTCAAAAAAACAGGAACCAAAAAAAAAAGTAAAAAAAAAAAAAAAAGTCAATTTTTTTTCCTGACTGGCCAGAAACTCTCCTGTGACAGCATCGATGCACTTGTTGCCTGAAAATATGCAAATCACAACAACGTAGCAATAGAACCACAGTCAATTCTGCGTGATGGAGACTTTAAAGACGGCCACTTGCCAAACATTCACAACGAGGGTATTAACAAGAAGAGGGAGAAGGGGAGTTACGATTCCAGAATAATAATTAAAAAAAAGTCCCTAAAAAGTAAAACTGACGAAGAGAATCTGGATACTTTTTTTGTACTGCATGTTACTTTATTTTTTACAAAATGGTCTTTAATCATAACATTTTATTATTCTTTTATCCAAACCTTGGCATATTTGGAACTTATTCAAATCCGTTTGCCAATCGGAGATCGTTTTATGCGAATATTAGCGACGGAGCCTGTCGCACAAACAGGTTGATGGATCATAAATATGACTTAAGGTAACCTGTGCGGGGTGTTTCACTTCATATGTCACGGTAACGTGCAACGCGACGACCAGTGCTTCACTTAGACGCAGTTCTTGGAACAATTGTGACTTTATTTCATTAACAGTGGAGGATATTTTGTGTTTAGAATTTTTGTGATAATAATAAAAAGGCTCTGGCCAAGACTTTTAATATTAACAGATGGCGATGGTAAGAAATCAACACTTTGGTTTTAGGGTGATCCTGAAGAAAAAAGTAAAGGAATTTCTTCGGAGGGACCTGAACGCCTCACAGGTTCCCGTCTTAAGTATGGAAATAAACGAGTGATTTTGGCACTCTTCAAAAGAAAGCACAAACTAGCACTTCCTGTTACAGTGACATAATGAGTGAGAAACCCCCACTCATTGCATCTTTTTTTTAACATTAAAAAGCTCACACTACCCCAGAAAAATAGAGATTTCTTTTTTTTTTTTGTCTCCACTCATACCAATGACATTCAACATTCAAGTGCCAGTGTTTTTGTTTACTGTCTTTTGGTCAAGTCACTTTGTAAAACATCAACTTTATGTATTTAGGCTTACAAAAATAAACATATCGCCCCAAAAATGCTTGATAAGTTACACAAACTAGCAGCGAAAGTAGACTCAGGAACACGGCTAAACAGTTGAATCCTACAGTTGCTGTTGACTGGAGCTCCACCTGGTCCCATGAAAATAAAAAACAAACAAACAAAAAAAATCCCCAAAGAAAATAAAAAGTTAAAAATAAAAACGGTTTCCTATCTGGAAGGACCTTTCCTTGCAACAAACACAAACCACATTAAACTGTGGGCAAACCTCGCCTGGCTGTGCTACACGACGGACACCTTCAGTCGGAAAACCTCTCAGAGGCGTGAAGGACGTGTGCTACATAAGACTCAACACAAACAAGCCTTAACCAAACAGTATTTTCTGCAAAACTCTGTTGATTTAAAGTCATTTTACAACAGGGAGGCCTGCAGGCCGCAGCAATGGGAGCATAGCACCATTAATTGTTCTTCATGTCTTTAAAAAAAAAAAAAAAGCACTCCTGCGAATAACTTAGAGGGCACAGAGTCATCAGCGTAAATGATGAGCGCATCAGGAACAAACAACCTTCTGCTCCTTTAGGGCTGGGTATTCACCACTAATATAAGGCATCGATGGGTTTTAGAAACGACAATAAAAAATTAAAGTGCTGGATTTGGGAATGAGAAGGGTTTTAGTCAAAACAAAACAACAGTGTTCTTGAAATGATCTGGATAAATTCGCTATATTCATATCTTACGCGCACACTCGATAACAGGGTGTGTGTGTGTGGGGGGAATAAATGCCTACGATGGCTTCTGCATAGGTACAGGTCAAGAGTAAACTCACAATACTTGTACATTTTGCAAGAACTGCAGTCAGCATGTTAGCAGTTTCAAATTAGCAAACGATACAACATGGGATTTGCAGGCGTTGAAATCTTTTAAAGTGCTAGATGTGTCGGTAGTGGTGCTGTAAATGATAGCGAGCCACTAAGAGTCGACCTTGTACGACTCCAATTGGGACTATAAAGAACGACCAAAGTCCCTGAAGAAATGTGGCGAGAAAGCCAAGAATCTGTTCAAATGGAACATTAATGGCACGAAATAATTTTACACGCTTGAGCAGCACCAGGATTAATTTGTGCCTGAAAGAGCTTGTGCCAAACGGCTGCTTTATTGTAGCGCGAGTGAAAAACCTACCAGTACTGAAAGTCATTGAATTTTGTAAAGTGGCGACACAAGAATAAAGTAATTTATATATATATATATATATTTTTTTTTTTGTACAAAAAGGCATTAAATGAGACTCACCAGCTTTGAAGATGGCGAGCTCTCTAAATGCCCTTCTGCTTGTTGCGATCGTACCTTGAGGTAGTCAATCTGTGACATTCACATGCAGAGATATAACATTTACACACCTACAGTTTCATATTGAGAGAGCAATAAGTTTGGACGTCATATCCAACTGAAAACATACCCAGCCCTAACCAATGTGTGAGTCAGTTATTCAGTCTTTACAAGGCACTATGCACGTTTTGGAAATTGGACAGTCCGTTGGCGCGCAGCATACCAACGGTTGTATTTAAATGTAGCAAAATAACAAGAAAAAAGTCTGAAACTAAAAATCAAGAAATGCGAGTACATAATCTAAGCAAGCAACAGAAATTAATTTCACTTTGGTAGAAATTTGAGTGCCAAGCAGTATTAAGGTTTGAGATTCGGGGCACAGTGGTAGTGAAGCATTGCTCTAGCTTGATTTATTTGGTAAATGCAACCAACAGTGAATTTTGCTCATGAGACGCACATGCATTGCATATCCGACTTCTATTGGACAGGAGTGGCCTATAAACACAAACGCTAAACATTTAACTTCCACTGTTTACAATTTAAAAGAAAATTAGTATATCAAAACATGCAGCTGCCAACAAAGTGCTTATTCCTTCATTGCCCTCTAGTGGTCAGTAGAAGGCACAGCAGCTTCTAGACCCTGCACTGTACTCAAAGAACGTGATCCAAGCATTTAGAACAATAAGTTTAAAGAACGTCTGCTTGGACGCAGCAGCCGCTTTGGATTCAAGTAACAAACACCAACAGCATCTCTACTCCGACAGCAAATATATCAACAGTGACACCGCTCACAGCAAGGTCAAAGTTCGAGGTTGGTAGTGGAGGACATTTCCAACAGCTCAATAGTGGTTCGGTTCTGGGAATTTCATCATTGTGGAAGACACGGGTTGAAGTCGGGCAGCTGCATGACAAAACTTCTGCATGTCGAGATGGCGACTAAGTGACTGGACATGCAACGGAAAAGAGTTCTGCTCACGCGGGAATTTTAAACTTGATTGTCATTAGCAACTTATTGTACCTTTACAGATCCTACCTCGGTGCTGGTTATTTGCTGAAGAAGTTTAATATGGAGACTATCAACCATTGCTGCGAGAAAAACAAAACCCTGATAGGCTAAAAACATCCGAGCATACCAAGAGTTGGTGCTCTTAATTTAATCAGACTTCATTAAGGTCTATTTATTTTTGACAAATGAAGCCGAGAATGCAACTTAAGTTTAGTTGTTTTTTTTTTTTTTTTTTAATTTATTTAATAAGTGGATATAAAGAGCAACTAATAAGACGAGGTGGAGTGCGACGTTGCATCCTGTAACAGCTGTCCTCTATTCTCAGCGGAAAACTCTTGTTTATCGTGATAAAGCCAACTAGTTTCCATTACATCCCGGCAGAGCAGATGTGAGGGAACTGGAGCTAAAGAATTACGCGTTTAAAAGAAACCGAAGAAAAATAAAACAAAAATAAAACATGTCTGGTATTTATCACTAAAGCCTGCTTTAGATTTAGAGCATATCTGCTCTGCATTTTTAACTCCTTGACCAAAAAAACAACAACACTTGCATATGTTTTATTGTCTTGGTCCGGCTTTGTCAGAGGCAGTGGGCAATTTAGGAAGTTATGAGCCCAAATTAATGAATTATGCTGCTGGAAACGTTACTCATCTCCATCCACCGCAGCTCTGAGCAAAGCCTTCCAGACACAGTCTGGTCCGTGTTGAGTGATCCGAGTTTTTCACGCCTCTAATCCGTCACATTTTCTGTGGAAATCCCTCTGGTTTCGCTTCAAGTTTGCAACTATTTACATGTTTTTGGGTTTTTTTTGTCGTTTTTTTGTTTTTGTTTTTTTAAATCAAGTAAACGAAGTGCAGATAATGTCGGCGCAGAGTCGGCTTTCTCCTAGAGATTTCCTTCTGCGACAGAGCCAAGCAGGACTTCCCCGGGGATGCCGCTTTTCCACCAGCACATTTTAGCAGCTCTGGTTCAGACTGCTTTAACTTTATCAGTTAAGACAGGGTTAAGGTTTAGCGGACACTTAAATTGAGCCTCAAAAAGAAGGTGAGGATGTTTTCAACCGACCTTTAACCCGCAGGATGGTAGCTTAGTTTGGACAAAAAGTCAATAATTTGCTCTCTCTGTGGCTATAATGTGCTCTGGAAATGCAGCATTTCGTCTGGAAGCCCCAGTTGTCACTACAGTAAAAAAATAAAAAATAAAATAAAATCAATTCCAATGCTTTACCTCAACAGATTTGAAGGACCGAACAAAGTAATAAAAAAAATAAAACTGGAAAGATTTATTTAAGATAAGGTTTTTTGTTTAACTCTCCAGGATAGAGTGAGCATGTTTTTTATTTTTCCTTTAACTTACTTTTGAGAGTTGCAGGAAGATTTTAAGAACAAAGACTGACGTTTGAGGTGGAAGCAGATTCAGTTTCCCAAAAGCACGGCGCCACTAAGAGTCGGAAAAAGAAAAAACTGTCAATTTTGGGCTTTAAGGTCTTGTTGATTTGTTTGACTTTAACATGACCAAGAAACTCCTGGATCAGATTTTGCTCAGTTAATGACACCGGAGGGCGACAATTAGTGACAAAGGCCGTGGGAAGCCAAGCTGCTAGCTCGAGTTTGAGCTCTGGATTTGACACGAAAAAAACAAGTATTCCCCCCCCCAAAAAACAAAAAACAAAAACAAACCTACAACCAAGTTGAGAAAAAGTTCAAATGTCTCTACAGAGGTTATAAGCTTCAGGGAAAGCTCATTTGGTGATTTTTTTTTTTGTCCTACCTCTAAGAGGACACAAGGAGTTTCAGCTCATTACGTCCGTTTTAGTTTTCGTTTTGTGTGTTTTCTTTTTAGGTTTTTTTGCCAAGGTTTGATTTAGTTCAAGCCTAGTTTGTCTCCGTCCAAACGGGAATGAAGAAGTGCGCGTTTAAACCCACACATGACGTTAAATACAGGAACCTTTAAAAACTGTACTTGCAGCCAGTTAGGTATTATAGTGAGAAAAGCAACATACATAGAGTTTCGATTCTTAAAGGCACAGTACAGAAACAAAAAGATTCTCTACATTGTTGGTTGGAGTTGAAGAAGTCAAGTTTGAACAAGCGCCTACTAGTGGGCAAAACTGACATTTCACCGGTTAGGGGGTTCAGTGGGTTCGGTTTGTCGTTTTCTTCGGCAGACATCAGTAACTCAAATGTTGATGCTTTGAAAAGCGGAAAAACTCCAGGTCAGAAATGAAGGAGAACATAAAGTTCCTATGTCGGACATTTTGCCTTGCCGTCTCGCCCAGCTCCGCGTTTTACAAAATTTTTTGGCCGGTGATTTACAACATGGCCATGCGCTTAAATACAAAGTTATACAGGGAGCCTGCCTGACTGGTAAACATGAAGCTAAAACTCAAATCTAAAGGTCACAAAACTAAAAAAATAAATAAAAAAAAAAGAAAGAATGTTGCCCTGCCTATAGATGTCTGTAAATCGTCCTGTATGAGGGGCTTTGAGAACAACTCGAACATTGTCAGGAAGTAACAAAACAAAATCCTTTATAAAAGTGGCCACCTTTACCAGGAGAGATCAAAAATGTAAAGGGAACAAAATGAAGATGGAAAGCACGAGAGAATCTAAAGCTAATAAAAGACATGACTGACTGGGACTAGAAGGAGGGGATATATAAATGAGTATAAATAGTTTAATAACATGCATGTAGGTTCCAGGGAATAGTAGAGGTGACGAGACGGGTGGGATGTGGATGACATGGTCGGGGAGAAATGATGGAAAAGGAGTCAAAGGAGGAAAGAAAGATGAGTAGAGATGGAATGGAGACACCTAGTTTCCCCACCAATCCACTTGAGAGTGGGAGTAATTTCCTCCGTAGCCGTCGCTTGTGTAGAAGTTGCCGAAACCACCTGTTGACGTGAGCAAACACCTTATTCACCTGCGTGTCGTTTAAATCGCAGTGCACATGCCGCGACATTCTCTACCTCCTCCGAAGCCACGGTTTCCTCCGTGTCCCTGCTGGCTGCGTCCTCCCCGCCCGCCGAACCCGCCGGCGCTGCCCCCGGCAGCCGTCTGGCGGTAATCCCGAGCTCCGAAACCACCAGAGAACCTGTTGATGACGCGGAATTCAGCACAGCTTTCTGACGATTTTATTACAAAACGACGCCAGTATCCACACCTCTTAGAGCGCCCCCTGTTGCTACTCTTGTGCTGGTGTTCATAGGCCAGGCTCTCCAGCCATGAAGGAACCTCCTGTTTAGCCTCTACCAGGATATCCAGCAGGTCCTTTGTGATGTTCCCGTTTTTGTCGTTGAAGAATGACGTGGCCAGCCCTGCGGAGACCAGACAGCGCGCAGATTCATTAGAATTTGTGTTTGTTAGCCGGGAGCCGCAGTGAATCGGTTTTCAGAGCCGCTCGCTGACCCAGGTTTCCCACTCGCCCCGTACGTCCGATGCGATGGACGTACTCCTCTATGTCACTTGGAAGGTCGAAGTTAATAACATGTTTCACGTTGGAGATGTCCAGACCTCGAGCTGCAACCTGCAACCAACACAAGAATATCTCGATTATAAACCTGCAGCGCTCCCTCACTCTTTGAAAGCTGGCTTTCTTGCTTTACTGACCGCCGTGGCGACCAGAATGGGGCACTTTCCCGATCTGAACTGGTTCAGTGCCTCCTCACGGTCTCTCTGGGAGCGGTCGCCGTGGATACTGGTGCAGGCGTAGCCCTCCCGGTACAGGAAGTCCTCCAAGGCGTCGGCTCCTTTCTTGGTCTCCACGAAGACGAGGGTCAGGGAGTCCTTACCTGGTCAGCAATGACAAAAACAAACGAGTTAAAAACTAGAATTGAACTTCAGGTGCCAGGAGAGATTAATGTAAATTAAACAGAACTTCAAGGCTGATGCAACATAACGCAGACCTTGAGCTTCAGAACTGTGCGCCAACATTCATTTTATGGCCATAAATGAAACAAAAACATCTGGCGGTGATGTGAAAACATGTTGCTGTGAAAGACTTGTGCTCAAAGGTAACAAGTGAAATTTGGATCAGTTAAATGCATCACACCGCTAATGACAGAGGTCCAACACGTTTCTGTCCTCTTCGAGATTCTCCAGGACATTTTAGCCCATTTTATAATCGGGTGGGTATGAAAGTTCCACTGAATTCATTTCAGATTGACTACAGTGGTCAGGCTTTAGGATATGAAACCTGCTAAAAACCACCAGACGGATACCTGATGGACCAAAGAATGGATGAAGACCAAATGGTGGACAAACGATTGGGCAGAAGACCAGAGACTGGTTTATGATTGAAAAGATACATGGATGCATGAAGGACCACAGGACAACAAACAGAACGGACAAAAGAACTGTTAACGCACAGCTGGGTTCATCTTTTAGGTAAGGGGATGCAGACTAACATTTGGAAACAAAGATTTCACATTCTGCTCTTGGTCCCCGTAATTTTTTTCAAACGTGGAAAACAATGAATTTGTTTTTGGAGCCCTGCCAGATGAGGGTCTCCCAGTCTGTGGTGTGATACACACAGGCTTACAGAGTAATACTGAGCATCACATTAAAGAATTAATGCTTTTTTTCATCAACAATAAGATGTGCAGATCAAAATAATGTGGGAGTTTTCATGCAGGAACTATTAAAGCCATTGATTGCAAGACTTGGTCCAAAGTGCTGAAGGTTTTCTCCATTAAAAATCACTTGTTTGCCTAAAATGACCCCTGATCAGCAGCAAGGAACCATCATCACGGCCAGATTCTCTCCATCAAGGCTACAGGTCTGACATGAAGGTACCACAAAAACACAAAGTGCATAAAGATGCCACGGCATCTTTAAAAAAGGAAAACGGGCTTGTGTATTTCAGTACATGAGATGGTACACAAAGCCGAAATTAAATGAAGAAACGATTCTCCATCCAACAAAAACGTATATAATGGGGGTCAAGCAAACTTATGCAAAACATGAAATGACAGATTTAGAAACGTCTTAAGTGTAGATCTTACCAGGTTTCTCTACGTTGTCTCCAGTATTGTCCTGTACCTCGTTGGGGATGACTTGGGATAAAACCACATCAAAGTTTTACAACTATTCCTAATCCGAGTCAGCGTTAATGCCTCAACTGCACTAAATTAGTCAAAGGAAATACATTTTCTCCCCTACCGCAAAAAAACCAACATCTTTGTCTAAATTTTAACTTAGCCACTTATGACTGTGTGAGTGTATGTTTCTATTATTAGAGATGCTACGAAGGGAAAACGCGTGAAAAACAGTGTTGACGGTAAAAGTCGTGGTGGCTAGCTAAGACAAAATGTGCAACAATGCAATGGAGTGAGATGGGATAAATACGACACGATTGCAAAAAGACACACAGCACAGTTTGTTTATGTGTGCTAGAAAAGTCAGAATGCTACATTTAGGCAGATATGCAATCAGTGCAAAATGGTGTCTGAATATTTAGAGAAGAAATTAGAAAATCCTGCTGCGTTTACTCTTACATCCTCATGCAAAACTTCCCATCCTAATAAATATTTCTAACCTGTAGCACTGAGCAGATCCAAGAGGAAAGATCTCTTATCGCTCTCTTCAACCCACACCACCTTCTGTGTGATGTTCTCCGAGGTGGAACCCACTCTGCCCACTGCCAGGAAGATGTAATCCTCCAGAAAATCCCTCGCCAGGATCTGCAGAGGAAGCAAAAGCGTCATTTCATCAGGCTACTTTTTAAAAGGAACTTAATGTCTTGCCAGCTTCCTGTCCTGAAGTGAATTCCGTTCTGGCAGCCGTTCAGGAGCTGGCAGGAGAGCTGGGAACTGGAGTCGCAACAAACACACCTGGATCTCTTTAGGAAACGTAGCGCTGAACATCAAGGTCTGTCTGATGCCTTTGTGCGGCATGGTGTCCTGCTCCACGATGCGTTATCTGTGGTTCAAAGCCCATGTCCAGCATGCGGTCCGCCTCATCTAGCACCAAGTAGCTAAAGGAAAAAAAAAAAAAAAAAAGTTTGAGCAAGGGAAGCATCCAGAACGTCTTTCATCTTCCACTTCTTCCGTCGGGTCACGTCTTACTTGCAGTAGTCCAGTCCAATCTTGCCTCTCTCCATCATGTCCACCAGTCTGCCAGGTGTTGCGACCAGCAGGTGGCAGCCTCTCTCCAGGTCTCTAATCTGCTGGCCAATGTCTGCCCCGCCGTACACCACACAGGGACGCACTCTGGAGCGGTACGAAAACTGCAACGCAAAACAGAAGTCTTTCTTCATTTTCTACCTCTGGCCTCGCTGTAATTTGTGAGCATAATGTTTACGTGCCTTCCTGGCTTCGTCGTAGATCTGCAGCGCCAGTTCTCTGGTTGGGGCCAGTACCAGGGCGATGGGGTACTGCTTACGCCGGCCATACTTCCCATTTTCCTAAAACAGCCATCACAGAATGGGAACGTCACATTCACATAGGGCTTCAATTTGAATGAAGCCCGATTTGTGCTACATAATGTCTTTTATTATTTATTTAGTTTTTGCAAATATGATTTAATCAACAAGAATCAAAAATATGGTCCCCATCTTCATTTTGGGGGATAAAAGTCATTTTGTAACACACAAATATAAAGGCTCCATCCTGGAACTTCTGCATGCAAAAACCTAAAAAGCAATTAATTGTGTTAACATTTTTGCTTTCTTCCTTATTAAGCTTATATTTGACGGTCTATTGGTGGCAGCCACGCTGCTTTGCAGTTTTTAATCACTCAGTGATAGATGGAACAATCAAGGTTTCATTTTAAATACAGCAGGAGTTTTTACTTTCCAAAAAAGAGGAACATTGTTCAGAGCTGTGGGCAGAGGGACTTTCTCCAGCAGTTACAAAAAGTATGACGAGGTTTCTGTGGTCCAACTGTACAGGAAGGCTCGTCACTACGGCTTTACATTCAAAGCTGAGTGAGTTTTCATCTTAGTGTGGGAACTAGCTTTTCTGACCTGTCCTGAGGCTTTGGCTGCATTCAGAGCTTCTCCTGGTCCGTCTGTGTAGATCTGGCTGAGAATTGGAAGCAGGAATGCGGCCGTCTTTCCAGATCCTGACAACACATGGTGACATTTATACCACATCACAGTTTGGGATCTCAATCTAGAGCAGATTTATGTCCTATTTCGTGTTGTTGTTACCCGTCTGTGCGCAGGCCATGAGGTCTCTCTTGGATTTCACGATAGGAATGGCGTATTTCTGCACTGGAGTTGGTCTGGTGTAGCGGCTCAGAGCAATATTGCCCATGACAATCTCACCCATGTCGACATCTTGGAACTATTAGAACAGGAAACGAGAAAATTACACGTCCAGATGTGGCAGGATCCTGGTTAACGTCTGATTTGATGTGAGCGGTGGCGGCGTACACTCTCGATGTGATGAGGGCTGTTTTGTCCTGTAGCCTCAACGGGAATGTCGTCGTATTTCTCAAAGTTGATCCCGGTGTTGCTGCCGGAGAACAGCTCACTGCAGAGACGGGGACCAGAGAAATATTCACATACTTTGAAACCTTTCTGCAGCTGAGCTGACACGACTCAGCTCAGCAACTGGACGTTGCCGCAAGACGACAATAAGCAGTCGTTAAAAAAAGATGATGAAGCATCATGTTTTTAAATGACTTATCACATCAACAAACTTATTCATGTGTGATTTCAATTGGGTTTCTTATTGAATGGAAACAATGCAATTGAAAAATTTAGTTTTTTCAACAATATTGACAAAGTCTTGCAAACTTTTGTAATACAAATGCAGTTGGTTCCTGTGGTTAAATAGTTCAGGTCCACAGCAGTATTCTTAAGTAATATTGACCTAAAACTGAATGTTTTATTCTCCCCATTTAAAAAAAAAACTGTGTTGCCACCAGGAACACCTCCCCTCCCACAGGAAGTGCAGCTGTTTCTGCAGACTCACTGCTCCAGTCGTTCGTTACGCGGCAGCGGCTTGGACCAGTCGCCATCGTCCCTGGACTCCTCCACCCAGCGGCTGTTTCCTCCTCCGCCACCACTGAATCCGCCGTGATCGAACCTGAGCACCGGGAACAAATTGGAAAGTTTGGGGTTTTCTGATTCAACGGTGTGTCCGAAAGCGGTTGCGTTGCTCACCTTCCTCTGCTGGCGTTGCCTCTGTCGTTGAAGAACGCAGACTTTCCACGGTTGTTGCCAAAGCTGCTGTAGGCGTCTTTGGCCGTGTTCCAGCCACCGGCATCTAAAAAGAGACATTAAAAAAAAAAAAAAAAAAAAATTATTCAAATTTCCTATGGAAACGTTTCACTATGTATTTCTGCGTCACAGCTGGTGTCAAACCCACCGAAGCTTATGGGTTGCGCGGGGTTAATGGGGTTGAACGCCCCGCCCCTGTTGCCACGGTAACCGCCTCCCGCAACACCGCCTCGCCCACGCTCCATGCGTGGCGGGCCACGGTTTCGTATGCCGGTTGTCATGGTAGCCGTTAACAAAGTTGTTGCGCCCTGCGTCCCAACCGTCTGAGGCGAGAGAAAGAGGGAAATTAAGGAATAATACAACAAGTATTGCGTCAGCAGGCTTATGATCAGGGGGAATACTCATCAAAAAAATGGTCAAGTCAAAATTATTTTTTGTATTTTGACAAGTTAGATGCACTTTAAGTAAGTTGATAGAAGAAAATATGAGATTTTCTTCAAGTTCTGCATCATCAGGTGAAATCTAAAGATAATTTCACTTGTCCCGCAGCTTACGTTTTCTACAACACATTTGTGGTGAGGTTAACACTCAAGAGTTACTCACAGTTTGCTGCAGGCGCTATGGTGTACCCCCCGGGTCGTCCAGCAGCAAAAGCATTTCCCACTGCACACGACAAGATGGTCAGCAACACAAAAAAACATTTCAACAACCACAAAGATTTCCTGCAGATTTTACACAAAAGTCTACAAATCCACAGCTAAAATAAACCAAGACGCTCACTAAAAAGCTTAATTCACACTAATGTGACAACCGTCGCTGACAAAACGTGAGGGTAACACACTCCTGCGTAAATCTTGCTTTTCTCACCGTTCTTGGATGCGTCTTTGTTCCGTAAATGTGGAGGAATGTATCGCCCTGGACAAACACAATCACAAAGCATTGTTTACGAGCGCATGCTGTTCCTTTCGGTGGATAAGGAAAGTTTTTACACCGCTGCTAGCTAGCCAGGTTTGTAATGTAAAAAGAGAAGACCATTGTGTATCAGCTCTGAACTTCCGTCCATGTAAACTGAACAACGCAAGTCTTTTAGAGTGGAATAAACAAACGTTGACAGGACATGTACATCTTTACAAAGAGGAAACGGGTCTGTTCAGAATTAAGCACCTGATTTAAGCTCATTAAATAGGAGTAACACCAAATAATGTTTGGCTATTCTAACTGGCTTTTAAACTTAACTTTGGGTCATTACTAAAAACAGTCCTTATAAAAGGAATCAATTTGGAAAAACAAACTGATTTATTTGTTTTCCAAATTAAGCAGAGTTTGTTTCACTGTTCGTTTTTAACCAAGGTGAAATAAAAAGCAGAGAACGGCAACAAAGACACGTCTACGTCTTACTGTTAGTACCTCCGCCTTGTCCATCTGGAGCACTCAAGTCTAGGACAGCGAGCTGGAGAACCAGAACAGAAACACATGAGCGCATTACACAACCACTAACACTATAAACTCAAATGCTGATGACAAAACGTTACAAAAATAACAACAATGAAGAACTATTAAATGTAGACATGCTCTCACATCATCAACCAAACTTTTATTTCATTACCCAGATTTGGTGACAATGGACAGGATCAGAAAGTCATATGAAACAGTGTGACAAAGGCTTCAAGAATATAATACATTTAATTATGACCAAGTCTAACTATATGTAAAATGATCTCAATTTTCTAACTATTGGGCTCCAAAATTCATCAAACTGTGGATATGAAAGTTTGCACAAAGTAGGAAAGTCAAAAATGATGGGAGAAAATGATGTACAGACACTTTGCACACTGCATATTTGTGTTCACTATTCTAATACTCAAATTTTGAGCAAAAAACATGCTTTGCACTTATGCACATTATATTCATTTTCTTACTAATTTTATAGTTTACATTTGTGAATTCCATCACATTCAAAAGATGAAAAATATGCAAGTTTTATCTCAAATTAAACTTATTGTAATCAATATTTCTGCAAACTCTCTCTAAATTAACTTATTTCACACAGTTCAATTCAATAAAAAAAATAGACTGGAAAAAAAAACTTAATAAATCTCATTGCTGCTGCAGAATGAAAGAGTCTGTACAAATTGTTCCCATTGCAGCTTCCCATTCATTTTGCATCCTCGCAAGTGTTGAAAACGTGTGTGTTTGCAAACAAATAAACATTCAGAGGGCTTTTTAGAGTCAAGATATTATTTAAGTACATGCAGTACTTTTCTGTTGCTATCCAAACTGCCTGACCAGACAGCGACGTTTTTGATGACGCAGAAGAAATTGACTGAACGGGTAAATACCATCAACACCACCAGGCTGGTTATAGTTTGAGCCACCAGGGTTTTGGGTGTAAAAGCCCGGCATTGTTGATTTGCAAGGCTCAATTTAGCTGCATTTTCTCGTACCTGCATTTTATCGCCGTATTAAGCTGCAACACAAACGCAGTGAACGTAACAGTTCGAAAGGTGCGTTGAATATGTTCAACGCGGAGACGCTGACGGGGTTAGAGCGATGCGTGGCTTCGCAAAAACAAATATTTTTCCTCAGTGATAAAACCTGCAATACTACAACCATTTTAATTGTTGGTTTTGTACAATACGAAGAGACGGCGCGGATAAATTCAGAGTTGTGGCGAAGTGTCTGAGCGGAGTCTCTTCCGAGTGAAAGATTCAAACGCACCCCGAGCTAGCTAGCGTGATAGCATCTCGCTAACGGTACCAGGCTAGCCGGCAAGCTAATGTTTATCCTCGCTGCTGTCCCACTTTCCAAGAACCACCTCTGACACGCCAAACTGGCACGGCTTACCTGCTGTTCTAGACCGTGGGCATTTTCGACGGCCACATGACTCATAACTATTGAATATGGCGGAAAAATGTTGGCGTTGAAAAAAGGACCTCTTTGTTTGCCGGGTTTTGATGTTTTGTTTTGGCTTCTTTGCCTCTAGCGGGTTTCTGTGGTTACGGCGAGTTGACACTTATTTCATTTGCCTACTGTTTCTATTGAACTCTGCAAAAATGCTGCGGTTGAATTTGAAGTGATGGTAAATTCCTCTGTTTAGGCGTCAAGGGTTGATACTTGATGCAAACCCAGCTGCGTCGGTTTGTTCTTCAGCTGAGGCAGAGAAGAAGCAGTCCGCTGTCGGTCAAGCGAGCAGCCTTAAAACGTACATACACATCCGGTACTTTCAAAATAAAAGGAGGTAAATGTAAAAGAATATATCAATTGTGAAAAAATCTAATTATGTCAATTAGTCAGTTAATTATACAATTAGCATAATAATGATATTATCTACAATTAGCGTAAATATTTTTGCTTTGTTTAAAAGTATCCGGCTTCTATACCTCTTGTTTACCTCTAAATGCAGCCAACTTGACAACACATCCAAAGTGTTATTATTTTTTTCTAGAAATCGCGAGATTTTCAAGATTTGTTCTCGCGATATTAACAACTTAAAATGAGATCTTGATTAGGCAATTTGCAAAAACTTTAATCCAATCAAATCGGTGTAAATATATGTATATTTGGAATGATGAATTCATGATTGCATTTTTGTGTTTTCGTTTACTCTCCAGGAGTAAACAGATAGACAGATATATAGATGTGTGCCCTTTAAAATACACATTAGAAGTTGTTTAATTAATTTTGTGGTTTGATACTCTAAATCTTGATTAACCGACCTTGTTCTGGTTTTGAATTTGTGACGTAGCTTTTGCTTTTTTGCAGCATATTGTTGTCATTCTCCTCCAAGACCTAATTTTAGTGCCTCAATTTAAGACTGAGACCTTTTTCTCTATTGAATATGGACCCTTTCATGATCAAGTCATCAAAGAGCCTGCAACTTAAGACATAGTCACAGTGTCTTGAAAATTTAGTCAGATTACTTATTGATAAGATTGATAAGATCTCAGTGCTTATCAGTCACAACATCTTACTGATGCTTCTTATGGAAACTTATTAATTGCTGCACCTCACTGCCAGAAAAAAATAAAAACTGAAACTCACCATGTTTCAGGGTTTGCTACTTATAGCATGAAATCAAATTGTCAGAAAAAAGAAAACAAAAAAAATTCTCAGAATCAAAGAGACAGGAAATAAACTGCATGGGTTTGATGTATTAAAATGAGATAAAGACCCTGCAGCAGACTGTTTTTGTTATGTATGTTATTAAATTGCATGAGATTGACCGTCACTCAGTGGCCTGGCTTGATGGGTTCTGATAACAACAGAACTCTCTTTTATAAATGTAAACACACACATTCGATTGCACACATCTAAGCAGCACCTGTAAAGCAAATGTTCAGACGTGTTACTTTTCCTGAGGTGAAAATCACTGAAAGTCAACCCTCAGGTGGACTGATGGGAAAGTTCTTCACTTATTTCTTTAAATGTAATTTGAATGGGGGATTTACTGGCACACATTCATAAAGCTCACCTCACCATCTCTCCCTAAAGAGGTGTTGCATTTTAAATGTTTCATTTGCTCGTCTTGCCGTTTATGGGTCAACCAAACCCAGTTTGTTCCAGGAAGTGGTTGAAATAAATGAAAAAAAAAAAAAAAGTCATGTTGCTTCCCTGCAACTTGTTGGTTTTAAACCACAAATACTAAGAGCGTGTGCTCAAGAGCATCTTATTCTCATAGTCAAGAACAAACCTAATCTAGGATGAGTTGGTTTTAAATACAAGAACCTTTAGAAAAGCTGGTTAACAACAATATTGACAGTGAAATTATGGAAAGCACAATGAATTCAAGAAGGTGACAACTGCTGGTGAGATTTCTCTGGAGGTGCCGTTGCAATGTAATGTTTCCATTTCATCATGTAAAGTACTCTGACTTGGCTTGTTGCTGAAAATGAGCTGTCCAATTTTCAGCGAAAGGGACTTGTTGTGCAAAAGTCAACAAGTAACTTTCCATTTCAAATCTGTAAGTTTCCACTGGTGCAGGAAGGTGTCCCATGATTGGCTGATGGGGTTTAATTGATGTCACAGGGGTTGTGTTCATATCCATGACATTTAATCGCTCTCTGTCAGAACATCCTTCGATATTTTCCATTTCCTCTGCTTCGCAGAACCCAGTCCAACCACTTATGTCTAAAATAAATAAAAATGTCAAATTTCAGAGCATGTACGCTCAACAAAGTGTTAAATTCAGTCTAATTTTATTGTGCTGGACATTCTGGAAAATATGTCAAAAGTTGTGAGCGATAGAAACAACATTTTAAATCATTTCAATAAAAACTACTAATCTGGGTTACAATTCACAATGATATTCAAATTTACATTCGTCAGGATAGGTTTTATAGTAAATACCTTGCAGATCATCAAATTTCATATTTGTTCTTAGAAAATTACACAGTCAAAACAGTTTTGAGTTTGACTTGGAATTATTAATATCTGAAGTGGTGTAAGTGTAACATATGCCACATTATGGTGTCATAACATTACTGTAAATTAAGGGACATAAGGAATATTTTAGGAGCAGTACCTCGTTTTAAGAGATTTTTTGTTGCCTATAGGGAGAAATACAAATAAAGAAAGATCCCAATCGCACAAATCAATACCAGTGCTGTGTTTAGTATGATTCTGATTCTGGGAGGTTCGTAAAGAAGCTTATTTACGATCCTCTCCTGCTCCTGAGCTGTAGCGACCTGGGTCTGCGGAGATTTCTTCCGGTGGCCACAAATACCCCCACAAACTTTCACAGAGTCTCCTCCTTCCCCCAATTGGGACTCCTTCCCCTCTTCCACATCCTTCACTTCTCTTCCATCTCCATCGCCCTCCAGCATAGGCTCAGCCATGTCATTCTGTCGTGATGACCGGGCTTCGATTATGTTCCCAGTGCTCGATTGAGTGTTTTCATCTCTACCATCAGTGCACATGAGCTTGTTTTGGTGGCCATGGAGCGTTTCTTCACCAACAACACCACCTCCGTTTCCAGTTGTGTTTGTTTTGTTAAGGTTTCCTTCACCTTGATCTATTGCTAGAGTGTTAAACTTCATTCTCTGCCTTAACCCCCAAAGAGTGGTGGTTCTGATTAGCTGTTCTTCCGGCGGAGACGTGCAGAGACTCACGATGACAGTCGTTATAGCTGATACCCAAAACAAGACGGCCGCCACATACATGAAATGGATTTCTTTGATGAAGGACGGTCGCTCATCCGGCTGGCCGCAGTACGGCTCTCTGTAAACCACGGCTAAGAGTAACCGCAGAGCGCCGAGAGCAGAGCCGACCACTCCACCCCAGAAGGCACCGGCCTCGGTGCAGCGCCGCCACAGAACACCGAGCAGGAACAGCGCCGCCACAGGGGGCGTTAAATAATCGGACACCTCTTGGATATAATAAAACATCTGCCCCCTTGCATTTCGATGACAACCGGCACCCAAGCAATGCTGAGGGCCACCATCAAGACGACAAAAAGCCTGCCGGTTATCACCAGCTCCTTGGGCGACGCGTCCTTCCGCAGCATTTTGTAAATATCCAGCGTGAATATGGTGCTCGCAGAGTTGAAGATAGAGTCCAAGTCGCTCATCAGAGCAGCAATCATGGCCGCCATCATCAAGCCGCGAAGACCGACGGGCATCACCGACATGACGAGGCGAGGGTACGCCACGTTGCTGCAGCCGGCGGCAGAACCGCATACCTGCATGCAGTGGTCTGGACTGATGCACGCCAACTGGTCAGGAAACAAGACCCTGGAAATCATTCCTGGAATTAAGAGAAACACACAAGAGGTTATGGATGATTCCAGCATCGGGATTTAGTTCTTCAAAATGCAATAAGATGTTTCTACCTGGCATGACCATGATGAACATGGGGAGGGTTTTGAGGAAGCCTGCCATGATGGTCGACCCTTTGGCATGAACAATGTTCTTTGCAGCCAGAACTCGTTGTACGATCACCTGATCTGCACACCAGTACCTGAAATGCATGTTTTTGAAGTTGTTAAAAAGGGAAGCAAAATTTGAAAAAGCAAGCAAATCATCCATTATTTAGTAAACTGGTCAAATCAAGCAAGCGCTGACTCTGGTTTGACACAAGAAATGAAGACAAATCACAAAACATGGCAAGCAAACAGTTTTCTTTTTTATACACTCTGTCTTTCATAGACGGTTAATTCTGCTTCAGTTGCTCATTGGGGTTGGATTGTGATTTAACAGTGGTTAAAGTTAGACTGTCTTTGAGAAGTTTGTGGTATAGGAATTAAATGTGAAAGAGAAAAAGTACCAGATTGAGGCGGGGGTCTGACCCAGCAAGAAACCAGGCCAGGGCATATCTGGATCGGTTGGGCCTCTCAGGATTTTCAGAGCATTTGGTTTTGGGTGGAGATGATGCTTACAGGATTCAGAATATGTCAGATTAGGTGAAGACAGCAGAATGGCAGTGATGTTTGGACTGGCCTGCATGTACTTTTCTTTTAGCCCTAAAATGGACAAAAGAAGGCGAGCATTAGCATGCACTGCTGCAGCTGTAAATTAATTTTTTTTTTAAATGTAGAAATCTGTGGGAAAAGTGACAGAAACAAAACCTTCAAGGCCTCCGACTTTGGCGAAGCCGATGCCTGTCAGACAGAGCGCTCCGACGATCATCAGTATTGCTTGGACTGTGTCTGTGTAGATGACAGCGACCAGACCTCCAGTGACGGTCAGCGCAGCTGTCATGACGATGAGGACGATGATGGAAACATAAAGGTTCCACCCTAAGGACTCCTGGATGAACAAGGCACCTGAATAGAGGTCCACAGACAACTTGGTGAAGATGTAAAGCACCAGAGTCAAAGCTGCAAAATACACCTTCAGGCGCTTCCCTCCGAATCTCTTGGACAGGTACTCTGGCATGGTGTAGACATGGCAGTGAATGTACACAGGGATGAACACCCAGCCCAGTAACTGAAGCAGCAGTAGAGCGTTGAATTCCCACGCAGCCACGCTAAACCCGCTGGCAGCCCCTGACCCGGCCAGTCCGATGAAATGCTCCGTTCCAACGTTGCTGACGAAGAGAGACGCTCCCACGACGAACCAGTTCATGGAGCGACCAGCCAGGAAGTAGCCGCTCACAGTGCCTGCGTTGGATTTTCGCATTGCCGCGAAGCCGATCCCAAGCACCAAGATGAAGTAAATCACAATAACAGCAATGTCTGCTGCTTCCATGGTGGCTTTGTTAGCCATGGTTGAAGACTTTTTAGAATCGCTTCGATGACCTGTGTTTTGAGCCAATCAGACACAGTTTTAATCTGCATTTACAATAACAATGACCTAAGATATAATTTTCAGAATCACGTCTAAGAATATGATTTTGTAATTAACTTCTGATCTGCAACTGATCTGTATTC